AACTGAGATCTGATGGTTTCTGCTCTTGGTGCCTCAGGCCTGACTCTGGCCTCCCAGGTTCTGGGCTTGCTTCCCTGCTACTGCTGCCTTCTCTAGTCTAGTGCCTCTTAGACTTTTAACATTAGTGAGGTGGGAGAGATGGCCCAAGAAGTAAAGGTGTTTGCCACCAAGCCTTGATGACCTGAGTTTCATCCCTGGGACCCACATGATGGAAGGAGGGTAGGATTCCAAGTTGTCCTATGATTTCTGGGCATGCCTGCACAATAAATGTTGGTTTATTTGTTTGTTTGTTTGTTTTAAATCTTGACAAGTGAAGGGACTTGTTAAAAGATAGCACTGTTTCTGATTAAGTTAGGGTGGAGCTCAAGGAGAGGGTCTTGCTCCCTGTTCCTTGCCTTCTCCAGCTGCTCAGCTGCCGTGAGCAGCCGGTGAATGAGTAAGCAGCACATGAGGCTAGAGGAGGCCAAGACTTCATTTGAGGCACCCCCGAAGGATTTAAATGCAGGGCCATCACTAGGCAGGAAAGAAGCCTGGAAGCCTATGGGTCCTTGGTGTTTCTGGGATATTTCATTGGTTAAAGATACTAACCTGTTTCTTCAATACACCCTGGTCTGGTGTTAGGTCTAGGTTAACAGAGGAGGAAGCAGCCTGGTTCTGGAGAACTAAAAAGGAAATACGCAAACAATTAGAACTCTAATAACTGTTCTCTGGAGGGAGCATGGGTAGGAGTAGCTCTGGAATCTGTGTTGCTGGAACCTTCATGAAAGAATTGGTATTTATGCCCAGACCTGCAGAATTTGTGGGAACCTGGAAGGTAGAGGAGGTATGTAGAACTCAGTCCTCAGCAAAACAGTCACCATCTCTATAAGATGAGCTGTTCCTGCTTCAAGACTCATCCATGATGATCAGGCTTGTTGACTGTCGACACTCCCTCCTAGAAAGAGGGGATGGGGTTATTGGACCCTCACCTGAGAGCCCAACCTTCCTCCCAACTATTTGTATGCAGTTCTCCCCTAATTGCTTGTGGGAAGGAAAGAGGGCTCCATCATCCATGCTGGGGAGACTTTGCAGTATGGTTGCTTTGGGGTCCCCCATGTTCCTGCTAGTAACCCCTCATCTGTTGCTCTATAAATAAGCCCAGTAAACTCATTGGTTCTCCAGGGTGATTTGGTTTGTCATTGTTTCTTATGAGGGAGTAGGTGTTTGCTTCTCCCCAGGGAAGGAGTTCTTGCAATGGGGTAGCAGGAATGAAGCAATGAAACAACTGAAACTTTAAGGTTCCAGAGAGAAAAGTGATTTCAAAGGCTTGACAGGCATCTCTCCAGCCAGACCTGGTTCTAGTGACTCTATCTGTATCACCTGGGTTGACTGTTTGCCTTATGAGCTAATGATCCCCAAGGCTCTGTCCTGGCATCCCTTTCCTCTCTCTGTGTCATCTCCCAGTGAATTCCTCCACACCAGAGGCCTACTTACCAACAGGGCCTATGCGTGTCTCCAACCCAGGCTTCATCTGCTCACGCCACACAATTAGCCACAGGTAGCTTTTCTCCTGTATTCTGTCCTGGGGAACAATACATCCATCAAATTGCCTAAGCCAGAGGGTTTTATGAAAAGACCCTCTGGTAAGTAGCTGGTGTGGAATAAACTGGTACAATAAATTGCTTCTGGCAGTTACCAAGACAAAGCTGAAGATGCTGGAATCTACAACTTAGTGGCTCAGTGACTGTTCATCTGTAAAATGGGTTTGATTGATAGTACTTCCTCATAAGGAGGTTCTATGGATTAAATAAGAGTAATCATTGCTACTTAATCTGACAGAAAGCACTTTATTTGGATTTTCTAAGAGATGGTGAGTACCCAGTTCAAGGTCACATCACTGGTCAGTGGTCGAACGAGTTCTTGAAGCCACAGTTCTCTGGAGTCTAAGCCATCTTCTTCACCTCACTTCCAGACTTACCAGATAGGAAGACACTTGTGTTATAATGGCAAGGGAGAGGTGGAGGAGCACACTGCATAATCAGTGTAACCACTTAGAAACATTATTTACATTGTTTATGTGCATGGAGGTCAGAACAACTTTTTTGGGGGTCTTTTTGAGACAGTTTTTCCCTAATAGCCCCAGCTGGCCTGGAACTCACTATGTAGACCAGGCTGGCCTTGAACTTGCAGAGATCTGCCTGCCCCTGACTTAAGAGTGCTGGGACTAAAGGTGTTCGTTCGCCACCATGCCTTGCTGAGAACTTTTGGTAGTAGATGCTTTCCTTCCACCATGTGGGTTCTAGGGATCCAACTTTGGTCTTCAGGCTTGGCAGCAAGTGTCTTTACCAGCTAAGCTATCTTACTGACAATTTTTTTTAAAGTAAACATCCACAAATAGAAAAGGCTATCAAGAAATAAAGAAAATCATATGGTCGATTTTGATTTTTTTTCAAATTATGCTTTCTCCATTTTTATTAAAACATTAAATGTATCACAGTAAAAATAATTACAAACCTACAACTTATTCTCATTTCTGGTCTTAACTTCCCTGGGCAGAAACTCTTTGGGTCCTTCCAAAGACCTTGGTCGGAAGTTGGTATCGCAGCCTGACAGCTGACAGCTGGCCAGTGGAACAGGTTGTCAAAATAAGGCCTGCCCAAGGGAAGTCCCAGACAGAACCCGAGCTACTTACCGCCTAGGGCTTTTCTGGACAGCGCTCCTTGAGATCAGTTACTTTTTCGCCCCCTCCTTCTAAATAGCCGGCCAAATGCTCTTTTTCCAGTTCTGGCTGAGTTGTTAGCTTCAGCCGGTGGGAACTCCGAGCTACCTGGCTCGGTGAGCACGCCCAAACTGGTCAGGCTAGTCTGCCCCGTGGCTGTTTCTGCCAGGACTTGCCCGTGTGTGGCAGACCCACCCTTCACAGCAACCCAGGTAGGTGGAAGGCAGCTGCGGGGCAGTAGCCTGGCAGTCAGGCCAGATGGGTGGAGCTGAATTAATCTAACCTGGAATTTCAACTTGGCCAGTAACAACAGGTGAGGGTTTTTTTTTTTTTTTTTTGTTTTGTTTTTTTTTTTTTATAAAGCAGCACAGAGAAATGGGCAGTTTGGCAACTTGCAAATATTCTTGCTCCTTGTCCCTTATCCCCTGCTTGGAACACAGCCCAGGGTGACTTTTCAAAGTGTCTACAGGTTTAGGCCTCGGCTGCGCCAAGAGCCTTAGGAGACTGAGTCCATCCCGAATGCGGTCCGCCTTGGCTACCCTCCACTACGCGACCGGTCCCCCTCCTCTGGGAGGCTGGGCGGGGGTATCGGATTAGCCTTTGTTTTCGACGCGAAAGAGCCGAGCTCTGGCGCGGGGTAGACTGGTGATGGCAGGGCCCTGGGGCTGGCCCGGGCAGGGCGCTCCGCGGTGACCCCCATGAGGGTGCCATGCCGCGGGCGCGCGGCCTCTGCCTCCAAGCACCCCCTTCTTGCTGGCCATGCTGACTCGGTACGCAGACGCGCGATGTCCCCTATTGTCCTGCCTCGGCCCGAGCTTGCGGCAGCCAGGGATGGGAACGCGGGTCAGTCGGGCCCCGCAACTAAGGGCTGTCCGGAGCCCTCGGGGCCGGCCGGAGCCCTCAGGGAGTTGCAGGAAGCCGGGACACCCAGGCCGGCTCGGCCCCGGCCCTCTGTAGCGAGGTCCGCCTGCCCCGCATGCCCCACCCCGCCTCTCCAGCCCGGGCTGTAGCCCCACCAGAAGGCACGGACCGGCCAGGCCACGGGGACAGCGGGGTCCTGGGAGGTCCCCGCGCAAGGCCCGGGCAGCGCTGCAGGTGCAAAGCCGCCTCCCCGGCTGTCCCCCCAGCCCTCCGCACCGCGGGAACTCCCCTCTCGCGCGGTCCCGGGCCTGGCGGCGG